GGGGGGAAGGGTACTGCAAATTAATGAAATTAGTGTTCATTGCATCAAAACAGACATTTCCAGTTCCCTATGCAAGTAGAGTTCTGAAAACCTACTACTAATAAATATAATTGGGACCATCGTAAAGGGAGTTAGATTCACTAAAAAAAGAGTATTTACAAATAAAGCTCAGAAAAGGTCATAAGGTTATGCTCGCATTGGACAAATGCATAAATCCAGAATAGATAGAAATTCATCCGAAGAGTAACGTCATCTCCACATTAGATAAATGTAGCTAATACACTCAATCACAGCTATATCACTTACTGGCAATGTTCACTTTCTTCCACATCAAAATCCTGAAAGTAAATGTTCAGCGTCCAGCGTTCTGGAATAGGATATGCAGGTGATATATTGTCCGTATTCCTTGGGTAGCTGACAGGATATCCTTCACTGGTCAGAAAGCCAATCTCTGGACCATATTCTGTTAATACAAAGACGGTTTCTGTAGGTTTCTTCAGGTTTCTTCAGTGTTACAAGGTGCACATTTTAACCAACATTTTAGGGGAATGGACATCCAGTAGCAAAGGCCTAACAAAAATCTCTCCCAGCTTAATTTAAACCAAACTTGATATGACTTGAAAGATGAGAATTCATGTTTTCATTATTCTACTGTTATATAATAAAGTTGAGTATAGAATGGCGGATAAAACTGTTATCATGGACGTCTACAAAGTCTGGACATCGAGCTTTAGATTTAGCAATTGAGTACTTTTTCCGTGTTTATGTAACCTCACTTAAACACGTGAGGGGCTGGGAGAATTCGAGATAGGATTTACTCAAACCCGAGACGCAGGTCTAGGGTTGGCAAACATTTTGAGAATTCTCTCAACTTCCCAAGTGTTTAGATGAGGCTATGTAAACTCGAAAAAGTACTCTATTGCTTTTATAAAATATTTCTTAAAAATACGTGCGAATCTAAAACGTCACAACCGTGTTTACATACGCTCATCTAAACACACCTATCGACCAATCAATGGGAGTGTGCGTACTATCTCAGTTATTTGATTAAATCACTTCGCAGGCCATTTCTGCAATTCACTGACCCCTGATACCCAGCATTGTCCAGAGGGGGAACGAGAGTAACTTGGATTTCGGTTTTTATGGGAAAATAAACATGTCTCAAACATTTTGGCCAGGATTGAAGGCATTCAAGATATGTCCTGAAGTGCGATCACTGCAGACGATGCCAGTTAAATCAAGAGATGCTATGGCCAACGAATAGTCAGAAACCGCAACTGTGTGATAACAATTTGGACCGCATGGAACTTCACTTTAAGTTATA